CCTTTAGAGGCAGAGTTACAGTGTTAACCTGCACAGCCACAGCCACAGCAGGCAGAATCCCCTATAGTCGACATTCAGCCATAACTGGAAAAAATTTTCTTCCTCATTCTGTCTTCCCAAAGCAAAGTGAGTGTCTTATTCTAGGGTGTGTTGCATGCAAGAAAATACAGCGGTTATCCAGCACTGCCTATTACAAAAAATACACCTGGCAAAAGTGCCTTTACTTACAGTCTCCATGAAAAGATCAACATTGAAAGGCCTGGGTTCAACACAAACCTTTTGGTATAAAATCAAATTAAAGCTGTTGGACTTGTGTGTTGTACGTTACCCTTTATTGAGCAGAGCAGTATGTTTGGAAAAAAAGAGTAAAAAAGTGCTCCTGTATATTCCAAGTTCTTGTAAAAGGCCAGTTAAAAAAAAAAAAGAATTACATTTAAAATGATTGTTCCTTAAGGAGGATAGTTCTAGTTTGCAGTAAAATCAAGGAAAATTAAGTATTCTTTTAATTTTGTAAAATTACCATATTTGATTACAGAGAGGGTGGCTGAGACAAAGGTGAACCTCCTAATCAACTGTACTCAGAATAGAAAATTAAACTTCTAAAATAAAGCTCTAGTATGATCACATGTATGGATCTGTTCTCAAAAAGTCTTATGGACTTCACAAGGGGAATTGTAGTGGATTAAATTCTTCTATTTTCTTTCCTGAAAAGCCATACCTATAAATGAAGGCAGTTTGGTAAAACAAAATCTTCAAACAGAGAAGGTTAAAGTGTAAGAAATTCAAGGATCCCTATGCTATTGTTTCACAAGGTTTTGCAACCTTGTTGTGGAAGCTCAGTTTCTAGGAGTGAAAAGGTTGTCTCCAGGACTCATGCAATCTTTGGCCTTTAAATGAGTGTGTCAGATGAAGAGGACATTAAGTTAGTGGCTCCACTTAAAACCAAAGTGAGTCTACCAACTCATTCCATAAAGACCAATGAAATACTGTTGTCCCTTGAAGGATAAGAAAATAATACCCAAATACAAGGTTTAGCCCATGAATCTAGAGAGAAAAAAGAATTCAGGGAGTTCATTTTTGTTACTTGTTTAGGAGAATCAACATGTAGTGTGGATTTGACAGAAGAAAATGTAAACAATTTCAAAGATATAAAGCTTTTGATTTTCAAATCATACTATAATTTACATTATTTGTAACAGACATACCACAGTATAAATATTACAGGCCAATCTGTTCTCAGATCTGTACATATCAGTGTTGTGGATCTTCTCTTCTGTCAAGTTTCTCTTCATAATTTTGTTAGTTCGTTCCTACTAACGTGTATGTTAATAGATCTGAACTGATACCACTATGTTAAACAGAAGAACCAATACTATAACATTTAAATATATTAAGGTTAATTTCATATTTAGGTTTTAATTGCATTCAGTCTGTTAAGTTAGGCCTATAAGTTTCTATAAAGACAGAATATTTTTTCAAATTATGAAGAAAATCAAAGCTTAAAACAAGTCTTGCATAACTAGGTCTAGAATTTATTAATTCTGAAAGAACAAAGATACAAAATACATGTGAAAACTACATAAAGATTTCTATAGAGTAAAAGCAGAAAGTAGGAAAAGTGAAAGGTACAGTTCAGTAATTATACAGAAATGTATGGCATGCATTTAAGGGGTTTTTTAAGTGCAATTTTTTTTACAACAGTTCTCATTGAAAAAAAGATGCAGATTGAAAACCAACTTGTACACTTGTCACATTATCAAATGGACCCCCAACACAGGTATATACATATGTACATAAACAAGTCTGAAATACAATTTTTAAGTTCTTTGTTGGAGGCACTAGATTACAGGTCTATTTAAAATTTAAATTTAATTTCAGGAAGTAAAATGGTAGCATTTATAGAGCATTTTGCAAATACTATTAATAGGTCTTCTGTTTTTATACAGCAGCAGGATGAAATACTTCACATTGCCATTTGTAAGCATGAAACAATCAAAGAAATATTTACAGATCATTGACCTTACAGATAGGAAACAGTATCAAATATTCTGTGTAAAAAGATAAATAATTAAATTTATAGTGTCACAGCACAAAGAAGGAATTATACAAATCATGGCACTATGTACTGTATGAAACATCAAAAATAAATGTAGCACATAGATACCTTTTCTTATATTTTACATTAAATGTACAGTACAACTGTAAAATGTAAGTTCCACAACGCCAACAAGCTACAAATTCTGGTTCCTGGTAATAGCAATATTGTTAAAGTCCATGTTGACAAGAAAATTCCATATTCCAATCATGGAGATAATATTGCTCTGTGATATTGCTAAACCCTGCAACTTACATTCTGATGTCCTCCTTTTTCTTAAAAATTGCCTGCTAGAAAAAACGTATTCCACATGTAAATCCTTTGGAACTATATGGTAGATGCAATCAACTACTTTTGGGTGATGGAGTCGTGGGAAGAAAGGTATAAATGGTTATAATTTTAGACAAAAAGTATTAAATTTATTAAACAAAAGTTAAAATGATTCAAACGTTATCCAGTTGATAATGTTATTATAAACAGTACTACAATTTTCAAAGTATAATTATGGTTCCTCCTACAGTACTGAAACTTTCCAATTTTAAAAAACTGGTGAAAGAAAATGTGAAACTAATCACTGTAATACTAAAAACACTAATGACTGAATTTTATTGCAACTCACTATTCTGAAAATATAGACTGAACCATTGTTAGGCAGCTGAGATATAGGTATTATATTTTTCCATGCTCCAAGACAACAGTTCTCAAGCAGGGGTCCATGCTCCCCTGGGGGCCTGTGAGCAGGTTTCAGGGGGTCCACCCAACCCAGCCTTGCCTGGTGTGGGGAAGAGCTGTTTTGGACTCCCAGGACTGAGGCGAGTCCCGAGGGTGGGGCAGGGGTGGGCCTGCTTTGAGTGGCCCCAGAGTTTCTGTCTTGTGGGCAGTGCCACAGTCAGGCAGACGAGGCTCCACACTGCTGCTGCTCAGGTGAGTGTGGCCCCAGGGTGCCACACTGCGGAACTACGCCCACTGCACCCAAGGCCAGGGAGCCCGGGCGGTCCTCTCTTGCACAGGGAGTGGCAGCAGCTCTGTGGGGCACACGTGGGTCATGGAGTTTTTATAGCATGCTGGGGGGTGGGGCTTCAGAAAGAAAAAGGTTGGAAACCTCTGCTCTAAGAGACAAGATCAGCTTGATAGGTAAGATTGTTAGGAGTAATATGTATGATTTTCATGTGTGCATTAGAGTTTAACACGAAAATACTGTTGAAAGCTTTTAGCACTTATGTGCACAGCCTAAATGAAATTATGCTTCTAAAGGCAACCAGAAATGTAACCATTAAACACACAGAATAAGGCCATGAAGCTTCTCATTTAAAATAAATATTTAAGGTGCAGAGACTTTTTGTCTTTGTTTTAATGGTTGCCAAATATTGATGAACAACAAAGAGAAAGTAAAGTAATATTCCATGAAAAATGCTATTAAAATCTAGAAGTACCTGAATTGGATCTTTGATATCCAGGTTTTTCCTGATTACCTGCCAGCGGAGTCGGGGGTGGGTAGTTGGCTTCCGTGAGATTACTGATGTCTGTCGGTGGTGTTGGTGGTGGCAATAAAGTGCTGTTGGGGCTGCTAATGTCTCCTTCAGCCACGAGAGTCAAGTCCGCTACATTGTCATCATCTATCATCTGTATGCCTTCAGCCTGCAATTCTCTTGACTGCCTTTTCCATACTGTTGTACTGTTGTTTTCCTGCACATGTGGAATTGGAGACAACGGGGCACTAAAAGGAACGCTGTAAGTCTTCTGACTGTTAACTGTTGCCAAAGCAGTTTTATGTTTATTTTCTGAATGACCCATTTTTTTAATTGAATTTTCATTATAGTTTTGTATGGACTCCAGTTTTCCACCTGTACATTTGTCCTGGCCATCATATTTTGAAATTCTCCTGTTAAGGCCTTTAGGGCCTATCGGTGTAGAAGAAGGTGGCTCTGGTCCAGCCAGGGGTAAACGAAGAAAATCTGGCAGAACAAGGTCTTCTTTTCTTAGCAGCCCACGTTGGTCGTCTGCTCTATTACTCTGAGCTTTGGATATGAGATCAAAAAACTCTATTGGGAAAAAAACCCAAATTGACAAATTTTGTCAGAAAGTGCAATGCTATTGCTAATGTCAACAATCATCACATTTAGTTTCCAATAAGACCTTCAATTCCTTTGAATTCTGCTTTAAAATTAGATTCTATGTTAATTAGGAACTTTTTCAATTACATCAATGCTTACTAGCAGTACTATAATTAGGACCATCAGGATTCCTATTGTAAAAGCAGTTTTGCAGTTTAGAACAGCTGCAATTTACTGTAAACCCTGAACTTTTTATTTTATTTTATACATTAAAATGAATCTTTATACCTGCCTTTCATTCTTAATACAAAACAAGGTTCTGTTTTACCGACATTTGGGCCTTTACAGTACTCGGATGCATATTTGTATATTCTAGATGTTTCTTTGCATACCTCAACTCAAAAATAGCCATTTCCTCTGAAAGCTTATTGGTTCAAAATGTAGACAACCCTTTATTAGATAAGGTTTCCTCCATTTTATTAGCAGTCGGTCAGATCAAGATTTAGCAGGTTTCTGAATCTAGTTGGTAGTACAATTTTAAGTGACAAGGTTAGTATTATGTTGTTTCATGTTTTAGTAACTCTGCATCTGTAAATGATACACATTTAGGATAGTTTATTACTTTATCCTGGAAAGCTACATTTGGCAACAACAAAATTTAGTCCCTAAAACAAGAGTGATACCACTCACAAAAAAGAAATGGCACAGCAATAAATTAACTTGCTGGTACTAATGTTTAACTGGAGTCTGCAAATCTACACAATAAATCATGTCCCAGGATCTATTAAATTTGTGTTTCTAGAACTGAAAATTTAAACTCATTTGAGCTTCTCAAGCAAAATCAGTTTGGAGGTTTTAAGCCAGATCATAATGGTTATCTAATTAAAATCAACAGGAAACACCTACAAAATTTAGTTTTCAGGAGCTATATTTCCTCAGCATGATATAAGGTTGTGTCATTTAACATTCCTATTATTTTACTTATAGCTTACAAACAATATTCCCGGTAGTTTGGATGAAATAACAGTAATAGATGGTGAGAAACAATTTGTAATGTGTTTGTAAAACATAAGTTAATGTAAGAGGCTTTGAACCAGAGCTACTTTGTAGCTCCAAAATATACTTTATGCCCAAGTTTTGCAAATGGCAGTAGGTGCACTGAAATATACATTTCTGAAATGCTTTTTCTTGTAGAAATTTTTTTTCCAGAAAGTTCATTCAAAATGTACCTACAACATTCAATAACTTTTCCCAAATTTAGATAAATTGCACAAAATTCAAAATGAAATGTGAAAACCTCAGTTTCTGAGGTTTACAGATTAGATTAATATAATTGAGAAATATACTTATAAAAAATATTTAAAACAAGCTACTAAAACAGCACATAATAGGAAAACCCCATTAGTACATTTTGCAGCAACACATACATGGTAACTAACAGATATTCATAACAAGGGTTTCAGTCGCAGTATTTTATTAGACCTGAACCTGCAGAAACTTATTTATGTATATAGTGATTCACATGTATAATTATTTATAACCTTGATCTGAATATCTGATATCTGAATCTCTGATAGCAGTAACAGTGAAGTTTAAATCTAAATCCTAGCTAGTACATTCCTTATGGCAGGGTAGGCCATTTTTTCAAATAATCCTTGAGCCCAGGGGTAATATTGCTCCCATTATTTTTTTTTTTATTCCTCCCACTCTCCTGACTAATATTTCTTTACATATTTCCTATTAGAAAACATAACTGAAAAGGAAAATTCTGCTGTTATCAGTGTAATCCCAGGAAAGTCACTAGCACTGCAAAGGCATCAATGAGGGAAGTCAACTCAGAAAATGCAGCTGACCAGCTATGACACGGCTTTTTCTCTTCCACTACTAGCTACCTTTTCAGAACACTTGCTGAATGAAAAGTCCTCTTCCTTTGTTCTTGCTCACCACATTACCCCACACAAACATAACCATCTTTTAAAACTTCTAGTAATTTGGATATCATAGATATGATGGTGAGAATTTTCATGAGCATTTACCCTCAGTGACTTACAAATAACTTGTAATAAGAGAGAGGCTCTTAAGTACCCAAGTCATTTTTAAAAGGGGCTAGGGCCAAATTCTTTAAACCAGGGCTTTCTAACTTCTGGGCAGCCAAGGGCTGCACACAGCACTGGACACACCCTGGGGCCACCCCATCAAGCCTCTCTGCCAAATGTACAGCTCAGCTCCCCCACTACCTTGTGCGGCCCAGTTGCTCCCCCTTGCTGTGTACAACCCAGATGCTCGCCCCTCCAGGGGCAGTCCAGCTCCCAGCAGCCACACATAGCACACCCGCCCACTCCCTCTGGCACACATTGTGCAGGCAGTCCATAAGCAGCATGCAGCATGGGCAGCCTGGCTCCTTTTTCCAAGCACGCAGCTCATGCAGCCCTCTCCCACCACGCACAGAGCACTGGAAGCCTGGCCCTCTCCCAATGCACCACTCCGGCCCCAGCAACAGGGTCAGGAACAAGAAGCTTGAGGACAGAGAGGGAGCCTGGAGATCTTGGCCACTGCTGCAAGGACAATGGGTAGAGTGGCAGCTGGGCAGGAGCCCAAAAGGTGCATGTTAATGCCTCACAAGCTACATGCGGTCCAGAGGCCACCAATTGGACAGCCCTGCTTTAAAAGACTGATTCCTAAAAATGGATATAGATACTGAATGGTATTTTCAAAAGTACTTAGACATCAATCTCCCACTGGCTTCACTGGCAGTTGGGTAAGACATCAATCTCCCACTGGCTTCACTGGCACTTGGGGAACTCAGCACCTTTGAAAACTCCACTAGGCACCACTTTCAGATATAGGTACCAAAATCTCTTTACATTTTGGCTCTTGAGCACTTTTGAAAATTTCACATCGTAGACTTTTTAAAGTAATCAATTGTAAGTTAACATCAACAATGATATGAGGAACATGCCTGTGATTTTCATCGTACGGTGACAGAAGCATAGTCCTTTCATTTTCTACATCTCTAAAATAGAATTTTCATTTTTTGTTGAATAGTAAAATTATTATGTATACTTAAAAAGGTGACATACCCTCTGCTTCATCCAAATTAATTTTCTGATATTTTTTTTTCCCAATCTTTGCAATAGATTCTTCTCTCTTTGATAGCCGGGCATCCCTAGCATTTTTTCCATTTTCGCCTTTCATTTTAATAGAATTAGACTTTCCTAGCGTTCTTCCCTCTCCCTGTATTAGAAGGAAAGTTAAAGTACTACTTACATTCAGGACATACCGCAATGTGTGTGTAATATACTCTAAGTGAATAAAAAGGAAATTTCATAAACAGATTTCTCTGGTTAAAAAAACATAACAAATATTTTAATTTAATCATAATTTAATTATGGCAAAATGAGTTAGCACATACTTCCCTCCACCCCAAGGAAGTCCATATACAAAGAGAATATTGCTAGCATCACAGAAGTTTTGTTAGAGTAGTGTACTCAAGTTTTTTTCCTTGGAGCTTTGGTTAGTATGCTTAACAAAGATAACCCATTCAACTGACAGTAAGCAAAGAACATAGGCTAGGAGGACACTCACTACCATTCAGTACATGGCAAAGAAGCAGGAAAAGCTCTTACAGAAAAAGGCTGCTGGGAAGGAAGGGATTGGATGTTTTATAACTGGTGTCAATCTGGCTAATTAACATTGTGGACATAATACACTTAACTCTGGAGTACTCCAAGTCACAAAATTTATTTTGGAGAAAATGCTCTTCTCCAATGTAAAGTAAACTTGTGAAAAAGGCAGAAGTACCTTTACACCAGAGAAAGTTGCACCAGTATATGTATAATGTGCATGCTATCACTATGAATTTCATTCTAGATTTGTCATTTGCTGAATACAGATTGGCTCCTTTGTTATCCAGTGGCCAGGTGCTCTGGAGAGCCAGTTGCGTGCCTACTTCTTAGTGTAGGGTAAATTTACTGCAGATTAAAATCCAAAATTACTCTATAGTGATCATGTAGTGCATCTCTGACTTAGTTTTGAGCAGGGATATCTGCAGCTTCCACTTTAGAATGCCAGAAGTACAGACAAGCTAATGAGACAGAAATAATTTTAGAAAACTTACTGTAGATGCTTGACTTCTTGAAGCAGATGTTATAGCTGTACTTTGTTTAACTGGTGAGACCTTTTGTTTATCTGTGAATACTAAACATAAAAACATGTCTATCATTATGAAACTGGTAAAATTCACTTAACCACTCACATTTAAAATTTCACTGACACAAAATAATTTCTTCACTATAAGACCCCAAGGAGGAGTTGTTCTAGGAAAATAAGAAAAGGCTAGATTGATATTCCTGACATTTTTCAGCTAAAATCCAGGAAGAAAACAGTTTCCTAATTGTGTTGGTGTCTTCAGAGCATAACCATCATGAATTTTTTCCCAGCTTTATTACAAAAATAAAGGTTAAGATATGTTAGGAGGCACACACAACAAAGATCAACTATCCCTTGATATAAGGATGTCTGCTGGGGGGGTGGGGGGGAGGGATGTTAACATCCCTGGCAGAGGCCTGCCCGTGACATCTTTTAACGTGGGGAAGCTGGTGCTTGACAGGAGGAAGCCCTGAACCGAGTGGCCAGAATGACCAAGACAACCTTAGACCTCCATCCCACTAGAGCCCTCATCCACCTTCACAGCCACAGAGAACCAGCAGGTACACCTGTTCTGCTTTGGGGTCTTCAGGAGTTTAGACCTGGGGCCTCACATCAGATCTGTTCGCCAGGGGAGACCCTACCAGGAATACAAGACTCCAGACGACATAGCTGACGGTCACTGGAACACACAAGCCTCTCCACCAATGTTACGATCCAAGGAGAGAACTCATATACATATGAGTACTTACATTGATTCTTCACTTCTGTAGAATACACTCTGCACTGGGTCATTTAGTCATATGTAATGCCCCGAAGTACAAGGACAGCATAAAACAAGTAGCTCATTCTCCCTGTGTGTATGCCAATTTCAGGTACATTTTTTGATCATTCAAGTTAATCAGATCCCAAAGCAAGTAATAAATCTCACTTTTCCCCAACAAACCTCCCTGTCTATTTTATCAATTTCCCCCAATGAGATTCTCTGTTCCAAACTACTTTAAAACATAATCTACTTATATTTAAAATAAAATGGTTTTATACCTACACAGATGGCTAGTAATGGCCTATGAGAACTATAATTTTTAGTTGTTATCTGAAAAGTCAGTTGTGATGAAAAGTAATCTAACTGCTACACGGTAACCTATTTGAAATGAACTGAATCTTAGTTCAGCTTCTCTTCTTCAAGATGAGAAATCACAACTGATATCCTTTCTACCAGTCTCTATAGATCTCATGAATTGCCGGGACATTGGAAATACAGACATTACCTTCAGAAGTGGTCACACATTCCAGTATTAGCAAGTGCTATCTTAGTTGTCCAGTGCTTTCATCTGTGCCACTGGAGAGGCAGGTAAGGATTGGGTGTGTACACGCCATGGGGGTTTACTTCGCCCTTAATTAAAGTGGTGTTTTAAAAAAAAACACTGCTTCAATTTAGGGAAAATTAAACTCCCATGTAGTCTACAAATGCCCATAGATATCATACCGTTGATCCAAGCAGCATTTATCTCACTTAGATCGATTATTTTTTCCCTATGAATGTGAAACAAGACTTAATGCAAGTAGTTAAGACATTAGGGGAAAAAATTCAGAACTGCTTACCTCTTCCCTTCGTTGGCTCTTTTTCATCTAGTACCACCCGCTGACCATCCAGATTAGATATAGGCAGGCCAAGATCTAGTGGCTCCTGCTCACCATTCTAAAGTCAGATCAGTTTGTGTACAACAAAGGAGAAAAAGAAAAGAACTCTCCTTCAGAGCAACTTTCGAGTCTGGCATTTACAACAGAGCGGTACAATCGTTATATTTCAGTATACTTGAAAGAATCCTCTTGCTATCACTTTCCAAAATGTTCAACCCAAATATGCATGATTACTTTGATTTATCTACAAGCAGGTAAAGGAGGATCAGACCAAAATAGAGTAAAAAATACTTTGCAAACATACACAAGCAGTCTAAGGCTGCCAGTGGCTGTGTTTAGCAATCTCATTTTTTCAAATGGGTTATGCAAATCAAAGAAGGCTGAAAAGATTTTATATTTTAGAAGTCAATTTGTTCATTCTCTAATTTGTTGAAATGAAAAATTTGAAACTAGCTCAACTGCAGTATGTTTTCAGCCATGTGGAAGACTTGTATTAAATCTCTACCTGAGAAGTCTAAGATGGTACACAGCCCAGAAGTGCCAGTTCTAGTTATGAATGGAACTTATAACTCCCAGAGCTCTTGACACTTGATTCCAATGAGAATATCAGGATACTATTCTTTTCAATATGGATTAGCCAGGTTATCTGTCCACCTGCAAAGCAGTGAGCTATGAAGGGCAAAACTGATTTCCAGGCTTCTCCCAGGCTAGTAGGCCAGTTCTAACAGCTCTGCTCAGGCTCTATTAGCTGGGATAATTTTGTGGTCTGATGAAGAAGATAAATCAGACCTAAAATAAATCCAACTACTAAAGAAAGAATGAAAGTAATAATTACAGAATATTTTTATCTCGATACAGTTACATTTTTATACAAACATTTTTATGCATAAATATTAGAATACAGCAAATTTAAGAGAATACTATATATGCTTTCCCAGACAAGTAAGATTACAGATTTTAATTGCATCAAAAATGACTTACTAGTCTTGCCACAAGTTCATTAAGATTTAAGCCATACTTTGCAACCACAGGCCGTAGAACTTCTGTTACTGGCTTTGTAGGTTTAGCCTTTAAACCAACCGATCTATTGATTGGAACAAGATCCAGCCTGAAACACATCAATTGTTGCAATAAGAATTCTCTATCAAATGATTCAAATGGACAAAAAATTGAAAACCCATCCCCCTCTTTGTCAAGTGCTGATCACTTAGAACACAATGGGTGCGTCTACACATTAAATTAAAGAGGCGTAATAAACTCGGGAGCAGTTCGAACTGGAGTCAGCTGCTCTCAGGCTCAGCTTCTACACATGTGCCCGGGACAGCAGTAGTTAGAGCCAGGGTAGAACATCCCTGGGCTGGCAGCAGGCCCAGAGGGGATCAGTCCTGGGCTCCAGGTGGTTGCATCAGGCAGCAGAGGGGCTGGCTGGGCCATGAGAGTTCTAAAGTGTGAGGGCTGCCTGTCACATGGGCTGCCTGTCACCATCTACACGTGTGTTTCGTCGCACTTATTTACTCCACCGTAAGATAGCACTGTCTTATGGCAGAGCTGATTAATTTACCATGCCCTAATACTAGCACATGTATAGACAGCAGTGCTTTACCATGGAGTTAGTTAGTCAATTCCACAGTAACGTGCATATGTAGACGCACCCAGTGAAACCACTGCAGTTTCACTGTATGGAGGGTGGCATAAAGGCATATGCAGCTGTGTAGTGCCTCCCAGAGTACTTAGATGTTTCTTTTCCTTTTTCTATGGAGACTCATCTGGCCATTATGCTATAGTAGTAGCGGGATAAAGTGTCTCAGATCTTCTTCTGTAGCTTTATATAAAAGAGAAAAATTAGATCCAACACGTCCAATCCAGCTGCTCAGTTGGGCACTGGAAAAAAGATTTGAAGCACAATCTAAAGCAAGTTCCAATTTATTACACTGAAATGGGTAAACTGCAATTTCCAGTGGAACTATATCTGTGTTCATTCTTTTGTGGAAACAGGAACTTTGGTATGAGGTACCCATATGTAACAGCAACAATAAACAAACATTTACAAACCTAATGGTGGGTTAACCGGTATCAAGAATTCATATAATCCCTTTAGAATATATGATATATTTATATTGCTTTAGCAAAACCACATTTAGAACACCATGCTCAGTGTTAATCATAATCTTTGATTAAAAATATAGTTAAACTGAAGGGACAGCAATTAAAAATTGGATTAGTGAAAAAGAAGCTGTGCATAGGAGTAACACCCAAAGTACTTTATAATTCTCTGGCCAATAATCTAGCCCTTACAAAAAAAAAAAAAAAAAAAAAAAAAGGTGTTCCTCAATCCAAACTTTCATTTTTCCATTTGTATTCTATATGCTTGTGAAGATAATCTTGAAAATACGAACTGAATGCAACTGCTAGTGCTACTTACCTACAGAGATGATGAAACAATAACTACAAGCCGATGAAATTACTCCTTTCATCTCAGTTTCCAAACTCTATAGAGGAGTCGAATATATAGAACTTACCAGAAGAAAAAACCCAAAATAAAAACATTTTAAAAGTCCAAATCCTTACGTCTGCTTCATAGGGGGACAGGGAATTTGAAAAAAATGTGTGCGCTCTCTCTCAAACATCTGCAAGGGATTTATTTAAGGTAGTGAGAAGGGCTATACTAAGGATTTCTGTATCACCACGGAAAGACACAGGGGGGTTAATCATGTCATGTTTACTCGCATGTACCTTGCTGAAACATTAATTTCATTGAGTATGGAGAATTAAAAAAAAGGCCTTAATGAGAATGAAAAGATTCACCTTTTATTTCCTTTCTAAAATTACAAACCACACATTTACTTTTTGAAAGATATTTCTTCCTTTTAAAAATAATTCAGTACTAACCAATATAAAAATGGATATATTTAAAAAATATATCAGCCTAATAAAAATGGAACCTGGACAGACTATTATTAAAAGCTTTCTTTCACATTTTCTAAGAATAAAACAGCTGGTAAATAGAAGTAATGCTGAAGCATTATGAACATGGCTTCATAAAGATCAACCAGTGACACAGAAGCCGCCACACAGAAAAATGTAATTTGCAAATAATCAGCTGTGCTGTGAAACATTCGACATGAGTGCTTTTTAACGTAACGTACATCCCCAGAAAGCAATACTGAATAATTTTGATGTGAATTAAACAGTCTCTGAAAACATAACAAATTTTTGTTTTAGCTAAACAGTAGTAGCATATGGTACAGCCATATTTAGAGTTCAATTAATTTGGAAACTGAACAAACCCACAAAAAAAATACTCAGAATCTCAATCTGAAAATTAACCAAGTCACATTTTATTCATAACCTGTAGAAAATAATCCTGTAAAAGGAAAGCTAACAGGTAGGCAAAAAGAAGAAGAATGTGAAATAAAGACACTGAGTGTCATAAGGTCAGTTTGGCAATGTATGCATTTCTCACTTGAAAATGTGGCCCAAGAGTGAAATACCATTAGATAATTTGCTTAGTTAATCTGGTCAAGGCATGGCAAAAGACAAGAATAGGTTAACTATTCTTGTAAGGATGGAAAAACTGGCATGGAGAGAATTGGCTTAATATGTTCCATGGAATTTCCATCTCTTTCCCATTTGCAATTTTATTACATTTCTTTGATTACTGCCAATATTGTTTATCTACTGTACATAATGTGGGGGCTCTCAACACTATGAAGTTGCAGCTCTTAAAAAGCAGTGAGCATTATAGTCATGTATGGCCACTTTATGATACTGCATGTTTAGTTTGAGGGCTCCCAAAAATGAAACTACAACCAAAATCCCTATAGAGTGGTAAAGATAGATAGGTTGAAAATATATATATCTTTATTATACTTGAATGCAATGTCAGCTTTTTCCCAGCATATTTTCTAAGTAGAAATAAAGACTATATTTTGTTATATATTCTATACCAATTAAATTTAAATGCAACTATTTAATACTAAAAGATAGCAGTCTGGTCCTGCACAAAACGGGAAAATAGAAACTGTGGTAGTGATGAACAGAAGATACTTATCTTTGCAGAAAGTCTACTTTAATTTAATTTCCTTTTAGATTAATAAAAAGCACCATTTTTTTTTACTGAATAAAGCTATTCTTTCATTTTAGGAAATACATTTAAAAGCAGATTAATTTGTTCTGAAAGTTATTTTGAACATTTTTCTTAAAACATATTTTGATTATTTGTTCTGATTAGTGTTATAAGGCACCCTGATCAAAAACTGAATTACACTATTATATGACATGTATATTATCAAAGAGATAATGATGAACAAAATTAAGATTTTTAAGATACAGTATAAGGTTCTCTCTCTAGCTATATCAATACAAGTGAATTATTTCAGGCTCAGTGCTATAAACTTATACTTAAATAAAGAGCTACCTTAGTATGACTTTTCCAACTGAAATCAGTCCAGAACATGATTACAATAGGATCTAATTGGTTACGGACACACACACATCTGGATTTATTTCAAAAAGGGAATGTTTCAATAGTGTAGTAGCTTTTATGTTCTGACTGTTATGTGGGTACTATACAAATACAGCAAAAGTCACTCCAACTTTAACAGTGGATGAAGCAGTGTTAATTTTGGAGTGATTTTGCTATATTTGCTATCCTTTTGAAACTCCTATACATGTATTTATATCCATTACAACCATTTAAATAATAAAAGACTATGTTTTTCACAGATATGTTTAGCCACCATTACCAGTGAGATGACTAAACTACAGCCCCCTCTACATGTTACAGGTATTGTACGAGGGGAAGGATTTTACTGGTTGGGGGGCCCAGAGCGGACCCGAGCAGGGTGCAGGGCCTGGGGCAAATCAGCCCATGTGGGGCCCCGCCCCCACTCTAATCCCATGAGCCCTGGACCTGAAGAAGCTGCGGTGGGGGGAGGAGGGGTAGCAAGTGGCTGGACGCGGAGCCGCCACCCTGCCCAGCTCCACAGGGCGCCTCAAAACACAGGGCAGCCGCCCTGATTCACTTTCCCCCCCCCCTCCCCCCGCCAGGGACAGCCCTGGGGGGGCCTGCAGGTGGACTCTGTCCTGGCAGTGGCAACCCCACAGATGCTGGAACCAAGAATCCCATGGCTGCCTTCTCTGTCCTGGCAGAAGTGGCCCCACAGCTGTCAGTACTGAGAGTCCTGCAGCTGTGGGATTCGCAGCTGCAAGAACTTTTTACTTACCAGTGCAGGGAGAGCAATCCCCAGCTTCCCCTATACTGGCAATAAGGCTTGATAGGATCTAATGCTGGATCCCACAGTCGTGCCTCCTGGCATGCATGTGTGGCATGACAGGACATGCTATCCTATCACACCTTTACCTGAATGTTTAGAGGGGCTCTACACGAGTAGTACATGTTTTAATGCAGGACTGTTCACCTGGTGGCTTGTGGGCTGCCTATGGCCCCCAAGCATGTGGCCCACAGGCTCCTGTCCAGCTCCTGCAGCCCCCACTACTCCAACAGCTTATATGGCTGAAGTGTCCAGGCTCCCTCTCCCTCCTCCAGCTTCTACTTCCTGCCTCCTCTCCTGGAGGCAGGGTGGGTTGAGCTGGGTGGCAGAAAAGTGCTACAAGTGCAGCAGGAGAAAATCTGGGCAGCCCAGAAAGGAGCAGTGAGGAAGAGTGTGTCTTCTCTGCTTGCACTGTCTATGCAGTGGGGGAAAGCTGGGCTGCTGGGGCTGCACAAGTGGCAGGCTAGCTACAGGTATGGTGTCCTATGAGGTACATACCCTAGCTTCCCCTCCTGCCATCAAAATGTTGGATAGCCCTGTTTTAATAAACCCTTTGTCTCCTTACTAGACCTTCATATTGTTCCACTCAGTTACTGTGTTAATAACCTATGCAGAAAAAGTAACTCAGGAAAATATTCCCATTTTAGGAGGGGAGCTTACATATATGCTTAAAACTCTAAGCATATATTCAAGTGATCTCCTGAGTCAGGGCTTCAACAGCCAAACTTCAACACATCAAAAGCCTTGTAGATTAAAAGAGGAATTTGAAATGGTCTCAAGTTGCAGCAAGGGAAGTTTAGGTTGGACATTAAGAAGAAACTTCTTATTAGGAGGGTAGTAAAACACTGGAACAGGTTACCCAGAGAGGTGGTGAAAGCTTCATTCTTGGAAGTTTTTAAGACCTGGCTAGACAAAACCTTGGCTGGGATGATCTAGTTGGGGATGGTACTGCTTTGAGCAGGGGGTTGGACTAGATAATCTACTGAGATTCCTTCCCACCCTAATTTTCTATGATTCTATAGTGAAACTGCACAATTAGGATTTCTAACTTGATCAAGGATTTGCAGGATTGGTCACGTATATATTATACACATACTAGCCAAAGGGTTACCAATCTTGAAATAAGTTGCCAAACAGTGAGGGAATTTTCAGCACTGACCATCATTAATTGAAAGTGACTGTGTATCTTGAAGAAGGGTCTGTGTAGGGGTCAGAAGATCAAATTTTAAAGGGCTTCTTTTTTCTAAAGTAGTAGGGGAAGCATGAACATGTCAACAGGGTTGGAAAGTACAAGAGGAAGGATTTTAATGGGAACTTTGGGTGCTCAATAGGTTTGAAGAATCATGTATTTTGTTTAAGTATCACTGTACATCCAGATTTTTTGACAGCTTTACAGGTTTTACATCAAACTTTTAGTACTATTCCTCTCATTTTTGTGGAAAACCATGTACTGTATTTGTTATGCAAAGGACAAAAAACTTCCCCAGATTTTTAGAAGGGTACTGGATTCATTTATAACCTCGGTGTTATACACAACTAAAGACCACCTTACAGGTAACAGAGCACCAAAGATGCACTTTTTTAATGTTCAGTTAAAGTATCTCACTTTCCAAAATGCAATTTGTTTCCATAAGTTTTAGGTGGCTAGTTTCACAAGTATTACAGGCCAAATTCTGTTCTGCAGTACACTATCTTCTGTTGTCTTACATGAATTAACTCATGTCATATCTTAGCCTATATATATTAGCTGAAATTGAAAACCCACAAAAAAAGTGATAATTTTTTTTCTTACCGAAATAAAGTACGCTTTTCCAAACGCAGATCCCGAGAATCCAGGATGCTACTGTCTTGGTGCAATACCAGTGGCTATAGAGCACATGAAAGGAATAAAAGAACAGAAAATACATTGAATTAGAAAAAACTTCTTGTTATATATTATTCAATAATATGTAATAGAAAGTACAGCTGTGCACAACAAAAAAGCAGCTTTCAAATTAGCCAGGACAGACAAAAAGATTCATAATTATGCTCTGTGTACTACTGTTGTATACATTTATAGAAAATATATTTAATTTCCTTTTTCCCTTGGTTGTTCCAAAAAAGGTATAGTTCAGTTTGGTGAGGTGCATCTTCTAACTTCCACTGAAGTCAACAGGCCTCTCAGCACACGCCTCACATGAGGCCCCCACTCTTATATCTGCGCAAACAGAACGAGAGGTTTGAAATGACAAGATAATGGTGGCTGAGAAATTTGAAAGATTTAAAAGAATAGACACAATGGGCATGTCTACTCATTCAATACTTGTTTTAGCTGTTACTGTGTCATTACTGCACAGTCCCAGTGGCGCACAGGTTGTTTCTGACCCTACTGCACAGTAGCATTGGCACCAGGGTTCGTGCCTGCCAACACTACATTGCTGTAGCTTGTCGCTATGGCGACGTAGCATCACATAAAGAGATGGCCAATGTAATGTAAATTATTATGTTAGGGCCATCATGGTGTCACTTCCACCTTAACATGAGATAACAGAGTCTGTACCAAGTCCATAACTTCTCTTGAGCTACAGCACCTTTTTTAGAAAGATATTCATCCCGTCTATGCAAACTGTTCCAGCAGTACTTACCCTTAATGTTAAAAGTGTGTGCCTTCTACCTTAGAATTTGTCTAGCTGCATTTTCCATTCATGGATCTCATTCTGTTGTCTTCTGGTATACTAGAGTGCCATCTGCTATCAAAATCAACTTACCTCTTAATAAGGGCTGTGCGAAGCTTCAGTAGCCATTTCGATTCGGAGGAGATTCAGCCCAATTCGGGGGCCGAATCTCTGAATCCAAATGAAATTGGGAGACCCATTAAAAGGTCTGAATCCAATTGGAAGCCTCCGAATTGATTCACAGACTTGGGTGGTCCCTGCTCACCACCACAGGAAGATGGACCCAGGCTCCGTGCCAGTAAATATGGGGCAGGGGGGATGCCCACCCAGCTCCAGCTCCCCCCACACCACCCCTGAGCACCCCCACCCAACCCCACCC